AACAAACTGAGCAAACCAAGGTACAGTCCAGAAACAACCTCTGAGTTTATCCTGTCTTTTAAAGCAACAAGAAGTTTCATTGCTCAATATTGATCTTTTTTGTGCTAGTAAATGCTTTACCTATTAAATAAACATTTTTTTTCAAAAAAAAATTATTTTCCCAAACCAATTAGAAAAATGCTGCTCAAATTTGCTTTCTAAAGAAAACCCCTTTAAAAGTATTTCTCCCAGAATCACTTGGAACCAAAACATATGGCTGTGTGCAAAGGAGAAGACTTAGAGAGATACAAATTGTCATGTGTGAGCATTCTGAGCATCTGTGAAAAGTCTCAGACCAGGGACTGAGGAATGGGAATTGATTCACTAGGAAAATATTCTATAATTTCAATATATTTTATCATACTCAGTATATATTCCTGTGAGCTTCAAAGCACCTTTAAACTCTGGATGCATGAATTCTGTGAAGGCAATCCAGCTTTCAGAGCTTTCCAGTGCTTTAAAATTTCTTCAGTGCTTACAAATGTCTTTATCTTTTAACGTGACAATGAGTCTGAAATGAAATATCCTAAAGCAATCACAAAATTAACCCCCCTGTATCGATGTCCAAGGTATATTTTCTCTTCTACGTGAAGTAGAACAGGAAAGTGTCACAGAATAGGCAGCCTGGGAAATGCATGATTTAAAGGTCAGCTGGAGAGAAGCCAGACTGGGAGCCAGATGAAAAAGCAAAGCCAGACTATGCACTAAGATCATGATGCAAGATGAAAAGATGAAAATCACTATTTCCCTCTTTTATAGCTATATTGGAATATTTGTGGATTCTGGTGTTTTGTTTTGGGTGGGGTTTTTTTTTGGGTTTTTTTGGCTTGTTTTAGGTTGTTGCAGCTTTTTTCTGTCACTCTCTGTGGTAGTTTTACAAGGGAGGCATCTACAGATGTAATACAAAAACCTCAACATAACTAACAATCTGTCCATCTCAAAACTTAAAAATTCTCCAATTAACACACCAAAACCACTACACTCTCGAAAATGGGAATTCCCAATTTCCACAAAGCCATTCCCCTGCTGAGATCAGAAACAGCACTTGGTGCCCATTATGGTTCCTGGGCCTCTCCATCTCCACAAGGGCAGACTCTCATCTACAGCTCCCAGTCTCAGAAAGATGCCCCAAAAGGTCAGAAACTTTGATTTATTCCTCATCAGGGTGTATGATTATAAATTCATACACATAGAATTATTATAAATCCACATATATGGAATTATTATAAATCCACACATACAGAATTATTATAAACTCATACGTACAGAATTATTATAAACCCACACATATAGAAAAATAATAACCAACACAGAATACGGAGAGCAAACATAATACTCATTTGGGAGGAGATTTCCAGACACCAGACTTTAAGGTCCTCTAGGAACAAGACTTACCTGCTTGGTGAGTGCATTGCCAAAAGAACCCAAGCCAGCTTCCCCTTTTCTGAGCTGCCTTCTGGAAGAGCCTCTTCCACCCTTGAGCTCTCTGTTGCCTGCACAGGCTGCCAGGAGGACCCTCTTGTGTCCCAGCACACGTCCCAGTCCTGATCCCCAGAGTGTCACTACACAACTTCAGAAAGCTTCAGCCCAGAGTAACACCACACCTCTTCAGGAGGGTGCAAGTGTCTTCAGCCCCCCTTTAGTGCCCTGCTGTTGGTGCAGTGCCCCTGTGTGCCCTCTGCTCCCTGCGGGGTTGGGCAGCACCCCTGGGCACTCCATGGCTCCTCACCTTCAATAGCATTCACCTGTGCTGCACAGCTGCAGCCCATTAGGGATCAATTAGGGACCAGCCCCACTCCCAATCACCACAAACTGAGTGCCCACAAATGATATTACACAAACACAACCCCCAACTTTCCCCTGCAAGGAAGTCCTTCCATTACTGTTGTTACCACAAGGTAGAAAATAACCATTCTCTCCTTCGCCTTCCTTCAGGCTTCCATCAGCAACTGCTGCTGGGCACTGCTGATGTCTCGTGAAGGCTGGCCTAGAACAGAGGCTAGACAAGAGTTAAAGAATAAAGTATTCCACAGATCTGAGTAATCAGTTTTGAACTCAACTCTTTTGACATCCATCACATTTTAAACTCCAGACTTCGTCATCACATATGCTATTCAGGGAAGAAATGCCATGTGTTCTGAACTTGCCATTTAGGTCTCATACAGCAAGAAGCAGTGAATAATTGTTGCCTAGTCCCTTTTTCCATGACTCGTTATTTCATGTACTTTGAACAGAACTCCTCACTTCCAGGGTGAAGTGCTCCTAAACTACATTATTTGTATTCACGCTGTTCACTGCTTTAATTGCTCCTCATGCATTTTTATACCCTTTGTAATTCAACCCCATTTATTTGAAATGTATAGGACACCACCAGGATGCAGGCAAGCAATTTGCACAATGGTTTGTTCCCCATCCGTTTTTGTGCTATTTTGACCACGGAGAAGGATGTATTCATGGCATTTTTACAATAACTCCAAGGTCTCTTTCCTGAGTAATAGCATCTATTTGAGAACCCATTGCCACATTAGGTACAAGTTTGGGCTGTTTTCCTCCTTGTGCATCATTATGCATTCATTGACGCTGTGTTTCATTTGTTATTTTATTGCCCAGTCCTTCAGCAACTAACATGCTTCTCCACCTCGTCATAGTTAACTTTTGTCTCAGGTAACTGAATAATTCAATTCCAATAATTTTGGTCAGTCTACCTTGATAGTTAGCTTTGGTTTTAGCTAACTGATTAACTAAATTTCAATAATTTTTGTCAGTTTACCTTAGAATCCCTCTTTGAAATAATTTGTGGCTATATTAAAGCCTCTGAACTGCCCCTGGAGCCCCTGTCCCAGCATGGCAGGGGCACCAAACACAGGCACAATGCTCCACTCTGCCCTTACCCAGCTCCTGAGCGACCAAAGGCCCACAAGCCCCACCTGGGGGAAAGGCACAGGGCAACCTAAGGCCAAACATGATGTGAAGCTTTCATCTTGACCCTTCCTTCGTCTTGGAGCTTCTACCTGCACACTGCTGGAACCCAGAAGGGGGTAGTGATAGCTTTTCAATCTTCTGCTTCTAATTACCTCTTTTCAGAATTTCTTGAGTGACTAAAAATCAAATGGGCTTAAAGTTTGCTAAGTTGAATGGGCCAAGTTAATGGTCTGAGAAGCATTTTATGCTGATTGAATGTTGTTATAATAAGCAAGTAAATGAATAATAGTACAAACCATACCCTGCAGCCCTGGAATGTTTTTGTAAGAATTTCCCAGTGGGACCAGATCTTTAACATCCTTTTCACACTTGCAACACTGACTCAATTTAACCGTGTGTGGTACAACAGTGAAATCAGCAACATGTGCACTTTAGATAAATGCTATTCCTTAATTAGTTTGTAAAGACAAGCCAGCAGGTAGCAAGGTAGATTGGCAAGGAAATGAAAGGGGCTATAACATACCTCCACTGCTTCCCAAACACACTTTGCTTTCTACCTAACTGGCAATCTGACAGAAAAACTTCTTAGGCAATGAAAAGTTATGAGAAGTTTTGTGCCAGTAATGTGTGTGGAATGTGCTGGGAAGCACTTTCTGCTTATGAAGTCTAGGTATGTTCACAGTACCTAATAAAACAAATGCATGTACAATTAACAGTGCAGAACATTACTCAATAGTGATATGAAATACAAAAATCTCACTTCAGTCTGCTGTATCTCTGAAACAATTTATGCTAGTTATAAATGGTAAATACGTACCTAGCTAACAAATCTATGATCATCTTCTGATAGAATCACACCTCATGTCAAGTTTTAATTTTCTCAATAATTTTTTTTGACCCTGCAAGTGCTGCAATTGGACCAAGTGATGCCGCTCAAGTGCACGCCAAAGACATTAAGAAAACAGGAGACTCATCAGTTTTATGTTTTGACTATCAAAATGGTGCACGCACAAGCTTGTCTAAGAGCTTTTCAAGACTGCTATGGACATTTGTGTGTAAGTCTTACATGTCATGAGAGCAGTGAAAGTAACAACTACATTTAGCAAAAGCCAACACAACACGCCTCTTGTACACGATACCAACAAAAGAAGCTCCCCGTGTACATTTTACACTAAACACTGAGACTCTGAAAAAAAATCCCATAAGGCAAGAATAGTCTTTACAACTTCAGCTGCATCAAAATAATAAATTAAAATTAATTCCAAAATCGTGCTTTTCATCATATTAAAATACGATGAAAAATGATGAAATATTAAAGTGACCCTCCCTCTTCATTCTACTGAAATTACATCACCTTGCTATGTGGACACGTCCCATGTCCCAGTTTTTAGGCTTCACACAAGCCAAGCCTTTTCCCAGTTCTCATTACACTACAAGATTCCAGGCTCACCACAACTATATCACCTACAATCCTTTTAGAAAGCAACTAGGAGGTTTCAATTTCTCTCTCCTAGTATTTTTAACTAGCAATGGCTATTTCTCTAAGAAATTATTTCTTCCTCTTTCAACTCTCCCAGTGAAGACTGGCTGTGCACCATGGTCTGCTCCTCCCACAAGTGCTCTTGAAAACTTCTGCAGGCAGCTCCCACTTCCTTCTTCAGAGGCTTGTGAAAAATGCTCCTCCAATGTGTCAAGCATTGCACATTCTGCAGCATATTACTGAACTGATCAGGTGGGAAGCTCCTTGCTTCAGATTCTGACACCACAAACTACTTACAGCATTTATTCCTCTGGCTCTCACCAGACTGGAGAAATTCACTCCATTTGCACAGGCCAAACACAGCAGAATGGCATTCTGGAGGCTGGGCAGGCTGTCAAGGTTACAGCACAGCTATACATGAACTCCTGTCTCTGAACATTAATAATTTGCTAGAAGTCATTATAAATAGCATGTATTTATAACAGTATTTGTCAAAATCAATTTTTCCTAAGATAATGAACATTTTTTGCTAGAAATAAAATTCACATGATATTGCTTGTAAAAATATCAAACTTTATTGGAAGTAATTAATAAAAAATGTATTTGAATTAAATTGAAAAAACAGAACAGGAACATTTACAACCAAGTAACAGACTGAAAATCAGACAAAAACAAAAAGGAAAAAACCCCACTTTTGGAAATATTTTTCTGTCTCTTGGAACTCCGCACGTCATCCAGAGATGCTAACAATCTAAGAACATCTAAGGCATTGTAATGCTAAGCATGAATATGTTCTAATATTAGCATCTGCCTAACTTGCTTCTGAATGAAAATCTACTTAAACACAAGGAAGCTACTCCAATGAAAATAATTTAGGGGGTCAAAACAACTTTTGTAATATTTCCGTCCTGAAACTCTCAAAACTACTTACAAGAGGAAATCACAATTCACACTATTCACATTTGCTATCCGTCAATCCTGCTTGAAATAGGGATGAACTCAAAACTAAACCTTATTTTTTTCCCTTGGAAACACAAAGATTTTTTGATGTCCTTGATTTAACATCTGGTGGGACATTTCCTTGAGAAAGGTTTCTAATGAAGTTCCTTGGCATATTCTGGTCTTGCTTCCTGGTCATCATTCTGACTCCTAGTGAAGAAAGAAATGCCATTAGAAATAGAGAGACATGCATTCAATAAACATAAGTAGACTGTAGCTGACATGGACCTCCTTTTCAGAATATGTCTAAGAATTTTTACACATTTCTTTCCTTTACTGAAAGCCTCATTTTAATATGCAAAAATGTAATCACTCTTAGCTCAGTAAATCCAGCGTTTTAATTGTCTACAAAGTCCCATGATTAGACCCTCAACTGACAGGAGATGCTATTAAAAAAGCACAGTGGTCTATAAAAAGATGTAGAAATATGAAAAAATGTTATTAATCCTTCTTATTATAGAATAGCATTGAAAAATGAACACTATGTCATTACAGATAGTTTTGTCTTTTTAAGCTGAAAACAACTCCTCTTAGTTATTTGGTTCAGGTTTATTCTGCTCTTATAATGCATGCTCTTGAAAATAAAGTCTATTTCATATTCAGTTCAACACTGAATAATCAAAATTTTATTCTCATTTCAAAACGTGCTTCTGCATCACATAGTTCCTTAATTCCAGAGTTGGGATTGAAGAGTGGTACCTTCCTAACCTGGCCTGTTGGAGCAGACATTAATACTGATATAACCCTGTGTGAAATCTGCCTAACAAGTAACTTGGTTAGACAGAGCTTAGACTCAGATATTCAGTTTCCAGAAAGCTTCTTGTAACACAGCCTCAACACTTTCAATGAATACAGAATAAGACCCTTTCCCTCACAGCAATTTTTTCTTAAAAACATGTATGTGCTGTAAAACCAGTGTATTGCCCATCCCACTGGAAAAAGCCACACAACGGAAATGTTTTTTCACATTACTTTTCTATTTCATAAGAAAAGCAGACTAAAATTGCAAAACTAATATTGGATCTCCTCTAGACAGCCCAAGAAGATCGTTAAGTATATATCTTTGAAGAGAGTGAGGAAAAGGAGGCAGAGATGAAGGAAAATGGTACAGATTCACCATATTAAAATCTGCTTCAGGTGCCAAGCAACTTAGTGCCATGCACTAGAAAAGGCAGAGGTTTTTATAAAGTTGTGAAGACATTTGTGAACATTGGCTGAAAAAAATATTTGTAACTGATTTTATCACAGAAAAGACGTATGCACCTCAGAGAGAAGCCGTATAATTGAGGCAAACTTTCACACAGCAGAATTTGTTAATATTATCAGCAGTATGTTAAAAACAAAATGATTTTGCCTCAGTTATTGTTTTTGTCCAAAATAGCCCCAAATTTTAAGACCAATAAATCTCTGAAAATACCTTTTATCTGTTAAAGCAAACCAGTTTAGTGTTGTAAAATAAAGTGAAGAATTAAAAACTGGTACGGAAATTATTAGAGAATTTTATTTCTTGATAAGTCACACTTGGGCAAAGACAAAATTGGTAAAAAGTTGAAATTTCACAAGTACATAAACTATTTTAGGTGGAAGATCTTGGCTCTTGGGAAAAAGGGTTTCCCAACAACATTGTAATAATATTGGATTGAACTTTGATTAGATACTATCTGTATAACTGATATTCTGAGTCTTTTTCTTAAAAAGGGATATGCTATTCAAACCAATGGCTTAGTACACTGTAACAGCAATACGTGCTATTAAAGTGACAAAATGAATTGAGAGGCATCTTAATTTTGCACTTGCTGTGACCAAGGTGATGCCTTCTGTTCCTTTGTGGTCATCAGAAACCGAAATGTTGTGCAGGCTGTCCTAGAGCAGAGGCTGGACACAGCTACAGAATAAAGCAGGGATTCATTCCAAGGATCTCCTCCATGGATGCACCTTGGGCAGCACCAGAGCCCAGCCAGGGCTGCACCCAAGATGAACCCAAATGGTCCCAAAATGCACGAGCGCTGCCGGGGTCTCTCCCTGGGCTCAGCTCTGCTCCATGTGCACATTGCAGTTCAGTGTCCAGTTCCAGCTGCAGCCCCTGCAGTCCCATCCTGCTTGTTTTTCTCTCTGCAGCCCACGGGGTTTGTGCTCCTGGGCTGAGATTGGGATCATTTGTCCTTGGTGCCCAGCTGGAGCAGGAATTGTTTTGTCTCCCTGCTCTGTGCAGAGAACTCACCATCCCCTAACACAGAGCTCAGAAGTGCACACTAAAGCAGCACAGAACAGAAAGACAGCAAAGCTAAACCCTGAGGCAGCAAAGGCAGTGTCCCCCAGGCAAGCCCTGGCACTCACCAGCCCCCTGGGGCACTCTCAGGGCGGCGTGGCTCAGCAGCACGTCCTGCCGGGAGCGCTTGGCAGCGTCCGGGGCCTGCAGGCTGCCCTGCACCGTGTTCGAGGTGGAGCTGCAAAAGGGCCACAAAGGAGTTTGCTTTCAGTACAGTCACTACTAACGGTGGCTCTGGCCTTGCAATGTAGAGATACTTCAAATATTATCCAGTGTTCATAGAGTCCTAACAGAATGCAAGGAATAAAGTAATTTATTATGTATATCTATGGATACTAGTCCCCTTTCTCCTTTTAAAAAATTTACAAGAATGCTTCAACTGTGAAGATAAGAACTAATGTTGGCACTTGTATTCAAAGGCAGGACAATATGTCACAGTTTTGTCTGAAACCATAGAAGCCAGTTTGATGGACATCACATACAAATTATACTAAGATATAATCTTAAGGCATGTTACAAAATCCTTGAAATGACCAATCTGTGTTTATTGAACAAATCACATTTTTTTATTGCTACAATAACTTTTCTACAGCCTGCAACACAGTTGGAGGGGGTGGCTTCATAGCAGACAATACTTTTTAACTAAGCTGCAAGAAAACTGTTACAGTTTCAAATTCATTAAACCAAAACCTCTATATTTTATCCACAGCACTTTATGTGATGGACTTAAGGTCTACAGCAAAAATTATGAACCTATCTGATCTCACCCTTCTGCAATTGCCTCACAAACTTCCTCGGTTCCCCTCTGCAAGACAGCCTCGTAAACAAGCTAATTGTATTTATGTCCTGAGTTCCTAGGCTTTTCCTATTCCTGTAATAAATATTGTATTATTTCCACTTTATAGTTCCCTAACTCACACTTTCTTAATAATAATTTTCTGCCTAAATGAAATTATATAACAAGCAGCAAAGACTAAGACTTTCCTTGTGCCAGTCCTAAAAATCTACTCATGCATGCCTCTTGCAAGAGAACTTATGCCAACAAGAATATACCATCATTTGGTAAAATATCTCTTATGACTGACTTGCCTCTAATGCCTTATCCTGAAAATACAAGTGTTTCAAATTATACTTCTAATGTGGACCATATGACTGAAATTTACGTTTTTATTCTAGCATTAGGAGATGAATGACTGGAGTGAGCCACTTGAATCAGGGAAAGCATGGGAGAGAAAAGAGGGAAAAAGTAAAGAAGAGAATGGAATGAAGGCACTGAAAAGCAAGAGCATATTGCTTTTCTCCTTCAGAAATGTGTTTTCATTCCTTCTCTTCATAATCAACTGCTAGACAAAACCATAAAGAATTTCAGTCTACAGATGAGTCACAGAAGCACAATGATCTCTATAAAAGGAACAGAAGTTGTGAGATTTTTCTGTTGTGTACTGGGAAATATGTTTGAGACACAAAAGAAACAAGGTGAACAGAAACATCTAGTCTTTTGGGAAGAAATAAGCATATATATATATATGATTTAAAATTATTACACAGTTATTACAAAAAAAAAGTACTTCACAAGACTGTCTGAGAACTTTCACCTTAAGACAAGATAAAGCAGGTTTCAAATACCTCCCATACCTCTCCTTAGAGAGAATGTAGGAAAAACTAGCTTGGTTTCAGAGAACAGCTAATTTACTTTGCTAAATTCATAATCAGCTATTTGAAAATGTGAGCAGTGCCTCTTTTCTCATCCTAGAGTAAAAGAGTTTATTCCTCCTCCTAGCAAGACAGTTTAGAACAGTAACTGATAACAATCAGAACAGTAACATGAAACTAGACTGGATGACTCTGATCTTCGAGGATAATTCTCTATTTTAAAGATGCTAATAAACAAAAAGGCACTTAAATTTCTTCCATGTCCTGTGATCTGTCTATAGCCTTGTCCCAACAGTCTTCAGATATTCTGCATAAGACCTGTGTGGTGGTAGCTCCACTCATGTCTAGCAACAGGTCATTTGTAACATGATTTTTAAAATGGTTGTATCAATTTCTGCTTTTGGAAATAGGAAAAAATAAATGAAAGACCAGCTGTTTCATAGCTAATCAGGTTTAAATACAGTAAAAAAAACAAACCCCAAACCAACCAAAGAAATACATACACAAGAAAATTACAATTCAACTTAATGTCTATTCAGGTTCAGCTCTTCTGCTGCTCCTGCTAATAAACCTCTTTTAGGATCATAAACCAGAAGTGATGATATAAAAGTTCTTCCTAAAGCAGATGGCAAAAATTAAGTCACAATATATGAGACTGAAAATGAATTATCAGAAAATCAAAGTTGATCACCTAACTATTGTCCTGTACATTTTTTTCCTTGCTTTCTGTTTTGGTAGTTTCTAATGTGCTCCAGCAAAGGCAGAACATTCTCAAAAAACTTAAGATTTTTTTAACTGATGACAAAATTTCTCTTTTCAGAATTATGTGCTATCTTTCAATTTTGAGTAGACAGCAGCTACACAAGACATGATATTAGTTTGTAATTACCAAAACAGAAGTCCTTAAACCAAGACTAAAGAAAAAAAATCTACTGAAGTTACCCAGAAAAACAACAAAAAATTAAATTGAATTCAAGCATATTTGAATCAGAACATGTCATATGCAGGTCCAAATGAATTCTATAGGATGTTTTCAGATTTGACATATTAGAACAGAACTGAAGTAAGAACACAAGAAATGGAAATTTATTTTGTATAGAAGGGTTAGTTTAATCTTACCTAAGTATCTTTCTTTTTCTCTGAGCAGCGGAAGTCATTGCCATATATGAAGGCTTCTCAAGTACGGGAGCAGAATTTTTGTTTCTTAAGGAAGAAAGATCAAGTTTGAAATAAAAGAATTGTATTTTTGTAAAACATATTATTGGAAGAAGTCAAGTAAATTTGTTCTTAACTGTAAACAAATATATGTTAAGTTGAAAACCAAAACTGGAAATTAATTTCATTAATGTTATTTGAGGCAGCTTTGCAGACTTCTGACATGCACGGCAGCTTTAAGCATGGCATTTCACATTGTGGAGAAGTACAGTACCCATTTTAAAGACAGAGAACTTAGAGAAAGTAACTTGCCTGAGGCATCACAATCAATTTAAAAAAGGCTCTATTTTCTTTTTGGTACATATCTTCTAAAACAAGATAAACTTTCAACTTCATTTCTTGTCACTAACATACTACTGTTTTCAAATAATGGCAGAATTGAATTTGATGTTGATCAAAATTGAGGGTTTGATTTTCAAAATGTTGGGTTTATTGTATAAAATGGATAGAAATGGAAAAACCTAGCTGTAAAGACAGACAGGATTAAATGACTTGGTAATGTTTCTCACCCACATAAAAGGAAAATACCTTTGCACAATGCTGCTGGTGCATGGCTGTGACTCCTTCACAGATGAGTAAGCAGACATTTCAGCTGTTTCCTCTGCACCTTCATAGAGAATGACAGTGGAGTTCATGAGAGCTTCGTGGCTCTCTGGGATCACGTCACACGTGGTGTCCATGATGCTGCCCTTCCTGCCTGGCACGTCTGCCCTGCAGGCACTGAGTACCCGCAGGCCTGCCAGGTGCAAAGCCTCCTTCACCACGGGCTGAGCACACAAGCTGTGCGCTGGCTTTCTGCAGGAGTCTGGAGTATCAGCTAGAGGGTACACCTCCTTGGCCAGAGAATCCTCCAGGTGCTGTAGGCTGCAGTGGCTGGAGGCAGGTGGACTTGGGGCTAGTGGGGGAGAGTCCATCAGCTTCCTCCTCGTTCTCTTCTGCGGTGGTTCTGTGTGTTCTAACACCTGCTGGGGATTGTTATTCATTTCTTGTGATGGTGTACCCAAAGGGGTGCCTGGCAAACATAAGTAATGATGGTTAGCACATCCAACTGCACGTACTGCTCACAACTGGCTTTTTCCCTCCTCTTCCCTAGTGAGACATGAGCAGAAATTATTAAAATACTCCTTATTTCATATGCATATCAACTTGATCATGTAAGTGAAATTATTTCTATTGCAGCATTGTCTAAGATGGCATTTGCTGTGACACTCAAAGTACTATAAATGCGCATAGGTTGGCATAGTTTACCCCAGAGGTTATAGAAATAATCACAACTAAGATCTGACATGTGACAAGAGGGAATGGAAGAGTAAGAAAAAAGACTATTGTACCACCATGACAAAACTCATACTTTAAGGTGGTACAATCACAGAAACCTAGAGCTGACTCCTGATCACAGCCGTTTTTTCCCCAGCAAGTACCATGCAGAATAATGAGAGACTGCTGAAAAAGGAATGACACAGAACCACCCAGAAGGAGAAAATTTTCTGACACTGCAAATGAGAAAGCAGTGTTTTGCAAAGGGGCAAACAAAGAAGTTAAAGTTACTAGGATCCTGTCACCCTACTACATCAACTGTGGGGAGCAAAGCTCTTGACTAACAACTTCCCCCACCCCCAAAAATAAAGCAAACAATACAATGCAATTGGCCATTCTCATTCATCCTGATTGAAACTATTTTTCTTGAAGTGTCATAACATTTTTATTTTCAAGCAAGACCTGGCTGGATTTAGTAAAGGCAATGACCAAAGTAAGAGAGAAAAGTCCTTTCTCTTACTCAAGCTCTCAGTGAAGGAGGATCATTTTAAGACACAGCTCACTGTTCAAATGGTGACTTACACAGTTATAATACCAAAAAGCTACAGAATCTTTTTTAAACAAATCAAGAGCAGGAGAGGGCTGTCAAAACCCCAAGTGCTTCTATATTTAACTTCCAGTGCAAATATAAGAAATGAAGCCTAGTATCCTTAAAATGCCTATGGATTGGATCCCCTTCAGCTGGCAGCCACAGATTCGTACTTTTTCTTTCTGCATTGCCCACTTCATGCCTATGAGCAGCACAACTGCAAAAAGAACTCCTGCTTTTTAAATTGATGCAAGTTACTCGGGAATTAGCTACGGTATTCCTAAAACAGTGTTGATAAATATTTATTTCTTCTAAATTTCATTCTATTTTTGCCTCAAAGTAAGAAAGCTAGTCTGAACTCCTCAGCCTGAATGCTTCTATAGTTCTCTCTCATGTGTTAACACTTTTAGGGCATTTTAACTGTTCCAAAAACATTCTTTGAACACGACAAAGATTGATTAAGAACATGTATGCATTGTATTATTTCACCTCCACAATCTTGATTTCTTACAGAAAGCAAGACATAAATAGCTGTAGCTTTTTCTCTGCTTACCATTTCCAGGCCCCATTTAATGTTGACCTCATTGCCCAGTTGCATCCAAATTTGCCAAGAGGCTTTAAAAAAGCTGATTCCCCAAGTACCCTCAGAAATCTGATATCTTGGGAAAAGACCCAAGTAAGGTCCTCATGAAGGAAAGCCAAGGAGGGTCAATCCCAGCACTGTTTTTGGTACACACCTTGGTACTTGACATGCCACTTGATGGGATACCCAGCTAGATGGGATGGTGCCCAGTTAGGAGATAGAAAACAGAGCTGTAAGGGACAGCCAAGGATTTAATGACCACAGCGAGACCTAGATCTGTTCCAGGAGGATACAACAGGTAGTACCAAAGTGTGTACAAGTAACAAGGAAATTAGATACAGGCCACAAGTCTATTCTATGTTGCCACAATTCAATAATGAAACCATTGAAAAAACAAAGCAAACATTAATTCCTCACTCAGGGGCTCAGTGGCAGAAGGAACAAAGTTTAAACTGCTAATGGGAAAAGCAGTGTGGACAATTCCAATTCCATTACATTGCTTGGAGCTTTGAAGAAACACATACATGGAAAACTTGGGCCTGAGAGGACTACCTAGCATGAAGTAACTGAATTGTGCATTAGTCTGTGTGTGCACAGCTCACTTGATGTATGTAAAGGACCTTTTCTTTGTTAAAATACAAAATATATTATCTTGTACCACATCTAATCCACAGCCAGCTTTCACCAGCAGTTGCTGAGATGCTGATTGTAATCTAAACATTAAGCTCATTCAGGATATTCCCCATGAGCAGTGGAATGGAAACAGCAGTAAAACAGGGCATGAGTGCTCCCCAAATAATCTTTACCTTCACCCAAAATAAAAAAGACCTACTGTCATAAAGACATCCTCCAAGACCTGGTTGGATTTAGTAATCAACAAGGAACTTATTTATGAACAATTTAAAACATCTACTCTCTATCACTATCAACAATGCTATGCTTCATTATGCACTTGCTCTTTAATTTTGTTTTAATAAGTACAATATATACCTCAGTGTAATTTTTAAATATTTTAAAAAAATTCTAGTCATCATGACCAAAAATTGAATGCAAACCTTTTTTCAAAGACTTTTGATATCTTATATTCTTAAATACAAGAATAAGGTTTATATAATCTAGTGTTTGAAATAACTGTCCATTAAATGACTCAGGACACATTTAAAATATTAATTTATTAGTTTTTATTCCTATTTATATGCATCTGAATGTCTGTTTCAGGAAAAATAATGGTTACAATTCTATTAGTCCATTGTTACATTAGGACAGGGAGGTTTCAGTTTCACAAAGTTTGCTTACTGTAAGACACTGAGGTTTTGCTAATGTCCTAAAGTTACTAGAAGGAAGTCTGATGGAGAAACATTTTGGTGGGAGTGCCAAGTTTTAGAAGCTTCTACAGGCCTCAATATTGGAAGCATTTTAAAATTAACTGTAAATACCAGCATTTGAATCATTAACTAAATACGTAAAGAACACAAAAGTACTGCCAACATAAATAATTTGATGAATTCCATCATACTGGAGAGCATTTTGTACGGTAATACAAGTAAACCAATAACAACAGTTGCAGGAATTCTATATAAGGCAAATATAAGCTGTTAATAAAAACAAAGACCTATTTTTAAAATGCATTTATTTCTGGAATAAAACTCACTGTAAAACTAAGTTAAAACACAGCAAGCTTTTCTTGTCATTAAAGCGTTGGAAATAATACAAGATACTTAAGTAAGTGCCCCTTCCCATAGCTTTTTGTGAGAATATTAGGTTGCTCCTAACACAGTAAACAGGTAAACAAACCAGCAATACTTGGCTTCTAAATAACAAACCAAACACAATGTGACAAAAACAACCCCAAAATCCTAATTCCACTTCAGCTTCCTGTTCTACTGTATATAGCTCCAAACAGTTATGACCTCAGGTAAGTAAACATGGAGCAAGAAAAAACATTAGGACCCACAAAATAAAGAATTGCCAGTGTTGCTATTTCCACCTTACTAAGGAAGCAAGATACTGAAGCTAATTGCTAACTTTCTTGCAAGTGCTTTTAATATTGAGAAGTTTATGTAAAAGGGACTCAGACAACAGAAGTTGCTACAGAAACTCTACTACTTCCATACATTTCTAAATACATGGTACTGAAGATGATACAGTGGAGAACCATGCAATTTCCTTAAAGAACAAATCCAACTAGTTCCTGAATGGATGGCTAATGGTAATCAGTAAGTATTGCCATTATTTTCCTATTGAAAGATAAACAACATGCTGCAACTATTAAAAAAAAAAATTCAAATGTGCTCCATAATAAAGTAGGGATATTATGTTTATAGTCTGTATTTGCTTAATGTTTTACAGCTACTTCAATCTTTTGCATCAATATTGTCATCATCATAATTCAGTTATTTTTTTAATTTCATGTACAGAAATGAATCACTTATATGCTTTACAGAACAGCCACAGTTAACTTGATGAAGTAGCTTAAAAGAAAAATTTGGAAGTTTTATTTCCTTAACTAGTACTTTCACAGCTGAAATGCATCTCTTTAAAAATAAACATTATTCCAAATATATTTTAGAGAAGAGATCACCTATTTGCTGATGCTCAATTTCAAGCTGATGTTTGTAAAGGACAATTGTCAAAATTCTTTAAGATACTATTTAAGAGATTCACTCAGAAACTAAACATAAAAGCCATCACCCCCTGATCAACCACCCCAACCAGTGACATGAGGTGGTTTTGGTCCTAAGTCTGCTGTATCATTTGTCCCAAAAGACTACTCAGAAGTACTGATTTATCTGACAAGAGACAGAGCAATAGCAGATATTTACAGCCCTGTGCACTAATACCAGAAGCAGAATGCACTATGTGTGAAACATGAGTCACAGGAAAAGTGAGCAGAGCTCATAGCAAAACAACTCTGATGAATTGAGTTAATTCTAATTGACATTGGGGACAAAATAATGCCCAAGACTTGTCTACTTCTGGAACTCATGCTAATACATGCATAAAGGGATTATTTCTGGAAACTGTGCTAAATTAAGTCTAGCAGGTTGCTCTGCTGAAGTGAAATTAAGTATTAATGTATTCATTTCAATAAACATTTCTGGGCTACCACTGATTGATCAAATTACAATTCTAATCATACGTTTTCATTCCTTTAACAACTGACTCATGGAATTCCAAACTGCAAATGAGGTCTAGTCAATGCATTTCAATGATTTAATATTCCTGTGACCCAAAGGCATCATCACTGTGGTGGCAAGTTTCACAACAGGTTCACAAACAACAGCTGTGAACTGAAAAAGGCTCAAATCCAGGCTGCATTCTTGCAAGTCCCAGTGATCAGGTGTACTGCTTTACACAGCATGAGAAAAAACACTTAGAAGTCACCCAAGACAGTATGGAAGAGCTACTCAATAAGACAAATCTTTCCTATTCAAGGCACATGCTTTTTCTACTTTTAATCACATCTTTTACTATAAAAGACGTGTAACTATAGCTCAATGTTTCCTGCCATACAGAATAAAAAATTGACTTTTCAGATCAGAATGTTTGTGACAAGCGGAGGCAACGGATTCCTTTCTTTTTTTTTTCTTCCCTATAAATCAATTCCATCCTCTCAGTGGTAATGTACAGTAAGGCTTCTGGAAATGGGATGCTTGAAACAATGCCAAGAACTTCCCCATTCAAAGAAATACTTGCAAGTACCAGTCAGAGCTCTCCACCCATCAGTCTGAACTCTGAATACTCTATGGCTCCCCATTAATGAACACTTAAGAATGGGTGCCCAAATAGATTCTTAAATGAACTTGCTTCCACAGCTTGTGCTTTGTTTGAGACAAGCAGTTAAATTGTTCATGACATTGCACGTTTATGATTACATTAAGCATACGCAAGCTTCATCTAAATTTTTAATGTATGTGTCAAAAAAAGGAGAAGATCTTGGAAAGCCAGCATTTTCTGTAAAAAGCAACAAATTTAACTTCTAATTAAGGCCAGAATTTTACAAAAGGTGTTTAAAGATTTCAAAGGCTAAAGGAAAAAGAAGATAGAAGGAGGTCAGCTCCTGTGGTGAAGCCCTCCATGTGCTCTGGCAAAGCACATGAACTTTAATTAGCTGTCACTAGAAATCAAGAGCTGATTCACAAGAATTGACCACCTTGATAATTTGACCATAGAAACTGACATTGAATGAATGGCCAGAAAACATCTTTATGTTTTCCTCCCATACTATGACTTTAATACTATTTAATATATGAGAGACCCTTTCCAAGGAAGCAATCTTCATTACAAACAAAAGACTTACGCATTAACTGCAAATCAGCTGAAATTCTTTGCTATTTTGAAACTCCTGATTGGAAGAAGGACCTTACAACAAGACCATGTCAAAATCAATTAATATAATAAAGTAAAAATATTTGGAATTATATCCCAAGAACTTATTTCTGTAGAAGACTTTCAACAAAACCAGAATAAATCCCCCTACCCTGTCACCTTTGCCATCCTTCTCTTTGCAATTTTCAGATTTTTTTCCCACATCAATTACTAGTTTCACTTTGTTCTTCAGGACCAGTTAAACAAATGTAGTCAATTCCAAAGAAACACACAAGACCTTAAGGTCCTGCTTTCATAGTTTTACCTATTCTGCAGAAATTACGTAGCTGCTTTGACCCTTTGGAGACTCAACTTTTCTCATTACAACCATTTTATTTGACGTAAAAGACCTTAATTTTTATGTGAAAACACCCAATAACAATTAATTTGCATTTGAACATTGTCACGGTTCTCTCAAAGAACTGCAGGTGGCATTAAAAAAGTTTCTGCAATGATTACTGCCTCATGTTCTGCAACACACAGAATTCAGCAGTGTCTTTAAATACAGATGGTTTCCTGCATCCCTCCCACCTTCAACACACAGTAACTAAAGAGGGACCTGTAGTTTGTTCATGATTGAAACTTCCCAATTGCATAAGGGATGCATACTGCACACATCCCTAGATAGTTCTGAGTTCAACAAAAGACATACAAGTATTTATTTTGTAAGCCTACACTAAAGAGAAATGAACATTTTTCTCATAATGCTTTGTGTTTTATACATGAGTGCTATCTCATCTTTGCAGAGGGATATTACCTCAAAAATTGTCTTTCAAATGTGCCAACACAGGTTCAAAGCAATACCTGAGATTTGTTACTAGCAAACCTAGTACACTCTCTTCCTCAATCTAAATGCTCCAGACTTTTATTTCATAGAAAGGAATAATTCCATTGCCATCAAACAAACAATTGAAGAGGAGCTATTTAGTTGTGTTTGTGCTGAGCAGAAAAAAATAATTCAAGCACTAGTAAGTGGATTACTTTTTTCCTCCCCACTTGTATTAGGTAACATTTCCCTAAAGGTCTCGGGGTCCCTCTTGTTGAGATGATCCCGAGGAGTGTTAAAAAGTCTCTTTTCCTCATTCCTCAACCCAGCTGTCCAAGAAGAGATCAGAAGTCTTTGGCTGTTATTCTCAAGGTTGTTTATTATTTCTTATCTAAAACATTCTCTGTCTGGCCTGCCAAAGTCTGTTCTGCAGGTCGGTCCGAGGCACACTGCCTGCCCGCGGGGCTGGTGTTGTCTTTTGTACTACAAACTACATATTTGATATTTACAGTTATGTTCCAATACCTGTCACCTGTGTTAGACTGTGAATGTCTACTTTAAACCAATCCCAAAATGCCACCATCACCAAGAAGATGGAGGCTAGGAAGAAGGACAGGACAACGCCCAAATTCCTCCACCTTGTCCCCCTAGACCCCCATAGTAAAATTCTTCAAAATTTCACCCTTCACCCTGTGACAACTACTGTTATGCTATCTAAACTTGTGTGACTTGTAATTCTTCATATAACATTGGTCATTTGCTCCATAGGTTAGGATGGAATTCCCGAGTGTCTTTGGCTTCCTGCCAGGGTCTCTGAGCCCCTGCCAGGATCGTGAGCCATCCAGAGCATCCAGAGGGACGTCCTGGGTTCTGACATCAAGGTTGCAAAATTTGGAGCACAGTTGTTCCTGCCATGTTGTATCCTACATCTAATGAGAGGAGAAGAGGAGCGACAGTAACGCCTCCTATTTTCTCTTCCAAAGAGCACAAAGCAAATAAAAATCATAAAAATACCACAAAAGATTTTTGTGCTAATCTTTATCCAAAGCCACCATTTACAACTGAAAAGAGTCTTAGCTGAAAACTGAAAATCATTTACCTACTTGAACTTAAATTTCAAGAACTTCAGGATAACAGAATAATTGGAAAACCTACACATAAGGTTTTCCAATAAGAAAACCCCCTAAATAATGTCTAATGGTTTTAATAAAATGAAATGCTTAGGTTTTAATAGTTCATGTGCAATTTAAATAATACTTGTTTCAGTATCATTTTCACTAAGAACCAATGAGGCCTCTTCCAACACAACACTTCAAGAAAGGTAGAAAAGTAGATTAATCAAGAACTCCAACAAAACTTACTAGCATCAGAAACTAAATTTCACAACTACGATAACCTACATATGATAAGACAGAATCATTAAAATCAATATTTTGTTACAAAGGATATTACAGAGCTTCTGGATTAGTATCCCTATCTATTCTGTCAGAAAAAGAGAGTACCTCTACCCAAAAACCACAGTATCTAAAACCACGTGCCTACGACTTAAAACAAATACCAGCTTTCAGCCTTGCTGAATGAATCCCTGACTGACATGGGCAGATTAAGAAGTGTAAGCATGCAAATCTGCTGACTTTCTTTTCCTCCTCTCTGCAGAAACAAAAGCAAACACACATTAAAAAGAAAAACCATCCCAAACTAAAATCAAACCAATGCTACTCATGAAAAAACCCCTCAAACTAACCAAAACACACAAACCAAGCCAAACAACTCCAGCCCACTGCCAGCACAGTCTGAACTTTATGCTGCAGACAGTGAGTGAAACACTGTGTATCAACTATTTGGTACCATCAACAGCAACACAAACACATGCCAAAAATCACAGGTACTCTTTAGAAGAGGGGCAATATGTGGTTTTGATACAACAATTCTCAAGCTGTAGAGAAGAAAAAAGCTGTCAAAAGGAGGGAACACATTTCACACTTCACCAGGGGTCAATGGTCTTCTTGGAACTACCAGCTTTGGAGAAGTTGAAGTATTTTTGAAGCAGTATTTATGTCTTTTTCCCTTGTTACCTACGGATGTCTGTCAGTTATGGATCATTGACAGTAATGAGAAAGCCTCAGGGTGTTGAGTGCTCCCTGTCCACAGCACAAAACACAAGCAGGGCCCCACAGCAGTTGCACTATCAGGATGAAATCTGGCAAATCCATCAGAACAGCACTGTCTATGAGGATTCCTCAATCCGTTTTTACCCAGACTATGCTCCAGGGCAACTCCCTTCACAGCTAAGAAGGAAAGCCAGCTACACAGAATTATGGGGAAAAAAATTGAACCATCAGGATATAGCAAAAGTCAGTTCCATGTAGATACGGCGAATCCTTTGATTCTTGGAAACAAACTCCTGAAATATTGTAGTAAATTGATTCCAAGTGAACCTGTAATTAATAGTAAATCTCATCTCCCTCGAGGCTATTAGAAACTACACAAAACTATACCTGCTTAATGTTTCAAGTCACTTTAACAGAATTATAACCAACCAACACTACGATTCCCTTCCCATCAATGTCACATGAAAGATTCAAATGCAATTTTTAATAGCACTCAGGATCTATGAACATTGATACATGGGCTACATTATAACAAGAGGAGGATGAATTAATCTGTTGCAGTGTGTGTCTAGCCATTGAAAAAGTAAATTTCTTTCCCATATCCAATTAGGAATAGCACTTTATAGAAAGTGGGTCTGAGAATCAATTTCACATTTGGCTTCAGTGTCTGCAGAAGTGCACATCTGTGTTTATGGATGATATCTGACTGTTGCAGGAGATATTTAAAACTATTTCCAAGAGAGAAAAAATTAATGATATACTTACTGCATGGGGTATTCGGTCTGCTCACAAGCTGTGAGAATGTAAAGATAGCTGACATTTCTACTTCACGGTTTTGATTTTGATTCTTTTCTTCAATCTGGTCAGCCCAAGCTACTGATTTTTGTCTTTGAATCAGCTGCTCAACCTCTACATATTCAGTCTCACTTAAGTCATTTGTCAACCCAGCTTCTTTTAACATCAGGTGTTGCTTGTGAAGCACTGGAAGTGCAGTATTTAGTACTCTGTAAAACAGCAAGAGGCAGACAAGTTCCCTTAAGAAAACACAATCTTAACCCAGAAAACAAGAAGTTTGAGAAGAACCTTGCTTCTGTTTCAATTAAAAATAAATTCTCTAAATAGGTCTTCTCAAGTTACAAGTGTCAGAATGTAAGTCTTATCCCACCTGCCATGAAACCATACTTACTTTTCTGTTTGCTTATTATACCGATCTTGAAGGGACACCAGGGTCAGCATGTGTCCAATCTGGGCTTTAAGTGCCTCAGCTTCCAGGTTTAAATGGTAATATTGCAGATCTTGACAAAGTTCCTTTAGGAAATTAGGAATAAAAATAAAACAGCTGTACATCAAACCAGTAGGAAGAAACTAAAACTTCAACTAATAATATTATTAGATCAGCCTATATTGAAAAGTAAAGATATAGGGGAGCTATATTATTATAATCAAGTTTTACAGTAGAAAAGTATGAATTATTTTATTTTTATTTACATGCATAAATATAATTTTGTAGATTCCTTTGACCAATAGTACGTGTGCTGCAATCAGCAGATGGATGATGCAAGCAGACACACATGGATGCTTATCTCTGCATGTCCAAACATCTTTGCCTCTTTCTGTATACTCCCTCCATATATTTCACTTTATTTCAATTATTAAGCTGTTCCTAACTCAGAGGTTTTTCCCTTTTTCCACTTCTCCCCCATCCCCAGCCATGACCAAGTGAAAGGTGTTTTACTTTTGGGATGCACCCATCTGGACCCAGGAGGCGCATTTCATTTTCAACACGGTGCAGCCACTTGGTGTTTTCCTCAAAAAGTTTGCTCTGCTCTTCTCTTTTCTTTTGCATGCGTACATAGTGGCAGTTAAGTTCTGACAGCCTTAGATCCCGTTTGCAAGTGGCCTGAAAAAAGAATCCCCCCCCCAAATAATCAGCATTTGAGGTGGAAACTTTCAAATTATGTTCACCAAATTCTCTTCATATATTAAGATTTTTTCCTTACTTTTATATAACATAACCAAATAATTCCTAGTAACTCAAGTATGTGCTACAAAAAGCGTGCTAAAGGATAAAGCATAGAGGATTTTCATTTTTACTCAATCTTCAAACATCTAACTCTACTGATGTTTGTACTGTTTCTGAAATATGACAACCAGAAGGCACAAACCCAGCAACAGCAAGTTGGATATAAGCAAGGTAGTGTCCTAACAAGGCAGAGGGTATCCTTTTCTATTTAGAGGACAGCCATACTCTGCCCTTGATCTCAAAAATTAGATCACTACATCAATAGCCACAGAGGAGTGATAATCTGTGTGTCCCATTTTAATGAAATATTTATGTATTAATTCATTACACAATTACGTAAGAAAAATTAACACAATTACACCAAAATGAAGAGATGATACCCTGGCACTACATTACATAAAACTCACCTTTACTACTTTTTCTTCAGAGCAGCATATCAGTTGAATTTGTTCATGACATTGATTCTGATAATATTTCTTTAGTGTATTTTCTTTCAGTTTCTTTTCCACTTTGAGGTACTCTTTTCTGATTTCCACACGTTTTGCAAAAATATTTTTAAGTATTTCCTTGTACCTAAAACCAAAGGATAATAATTATTTACTGAAGACTTTTTATAACCATCTCTTTGGTAGGGGAATTTTCAAATCCAAATAAATAAAATAAAGAAATGAAAAGGAAATGAGTAAAGCCTAATATACATAGGTACTAAATAAAATGTCAGTACATCAGCAAGAATTTTATGTATTTGAACTGAAAATGGCATGGAAATTTTGAAGGAGTCACTAAAAATAAACCTTGTTATAATTATGAAGACAACACTGGGATTTAAAAGGTTTATGTGCAGAAGCTTCAGATGACTTTCTCGAATTCCAGAAGATACTAAATACCTACGTTCTCCACTTCTTATATCTATTTATTAAGCACATCAGACTACTGTTGCCATAGACACACAAGGTGCTCAAAACTCTGCTAGCTATCCTCAAAAAAAAAGGAGAAGCACAAAGGTCTTTGGATGCTCACTTTCCCTGAAGGAGCTGTACAATTTCCATCACTCATGGAGGACAAAAATCAGAACATTCACCATGTTTTAACACATACTAGGCTAATGGGGGGAAAACCAAACTGTGGTAGGTGGTACTCGAGGAGGTATTGAGTAACCAGTTATCTGGGTACCCCTAGTCTGCAACACAAGTCAGAATTAACAAGGACAAGACCTGGAAGCATTGCCATACTGCAATATAACTTTCACTGTTGGTACTTCTTCACTCCACTCCCGAATACTGAAAACGTACAGTACAGAATGGCCAAAAAGACACTGTATATCTCAATAAAAGCCAACCTCATACACAAAGTATTTAATTACATCCTACATTGTTAGAACTTGACATAAAAATAAAAGTTTAACATTCAAGTGTTCTAAAGACATGCAAAATTTGAGGTTATACAGTTTTTAGTATCAAAAAAGCCCACACAATTAAAAACTGTAAAAATGCTAAAAAACCCCAGGATCAACTCCAAAACAAGTTGAAGAGACATTCTTATCATGTAATTGACTTCTTGCCAGTGTTTCAAAAGTAGCAATTCTATTTCACAATCTAAATAACTGAGTCTTTTATTCTATTCTGAGTGTTTTATCACTCGCCTTTTAAAAAGAAACAGAATTAAGAAAATAATTCTTCTCTGCAGATTTAGTAATACAAGAGCTTTTCACTGTCTAGAGGATGCTATTGTATCTAGGTAAAAAAGCGTACTAAAACACTCACAGAATTCATAAGAGTTATTTCTTTAAGGAACACTAATAGGTTAATGGTTGGAGTCTATGCTCTTGGAGGTCTTTTCCAACCCTAAAGATTCTATAATAATGCAACAGTCAGCAGCAGAGTAACAGAGCTCTTACCCCACACTGTTCCTATCTATACAACTATACTACTGATTGCACTGCTTGGAAGATTTTTGTCCTCCTTAGCATCCACAGAAACATGGTTCCTCCCAGCTGCTTGGGAAACAGCATCAAGGAATCAAAGTGAATTCTCCCAGTTTCCATCACAGTAAAAAGCTGGGCATAATTCAGGTGAAGGTGGAGATTCTGATTCTTTGTACCCTCCTTATGAGGAGCCATTGCTGGTAAAGCAACCTTTTATATTCACCAGTGTTCCAAATACAGCATCAGCTACAGAAGCCTTTGTGGATTCAGCCTTTCAATTAGCACATTTCTGTTCCCATGGAGTTACCTTGAGCCTCTGGTCTGCACTGTCAAAACTACAAAGTTACCCTGTAGGCACACCCAGGGTATGAACCCCCTACACGACCTGGTGTCCAAGAGCTCGAGGACCTGCTGGTTGTATTTCTGGAGCCAGTGCCCACTGTCTACCCTAACAGGCTCAAGACTTGAAGGGGTGGCACACAACCCATCTCAAAGTTTCAGCAGAAGGAGGATGATTTTAATGCTTGAAGAAGCAAGTGATGCTTCTTCAGTGATGCAAAAACCATGGGTGGTTGGACTGAAATACAAGATCATGGACAAGGCTCTCCTCCCTGTCCAAACTAAAAGGGAACAGCACAATATCTTCAAAACCTGTAAATGAATGGGAGAAATCCACTCATCACCCACACCACATCAGTAATCTGAACCTGGTAGGATACTCAGGAGAAAGAAGAGAATGAGACATATACATCATTTCTGACATCCAGAGGGACTGGGATAGGTTACATGTGGTCCTTTGGATTTTCCATAACAAACATTCTCTGACCAGCAAACCTTGGCATAAAATATGTCCAGCCTTTTGAAAGATATTTTAGAGACCTTGCCCTTGACTGACTCTTCCCACACACAAAAAATGAAATAAAGGGCAAATCACAGGAAATAAAATCAATCTTCAAGACATACAGTGCAAAAATATGCAGGAATACTGTCAGAACTATCAACATGACTTAGAAGCCCACACTTCTTTTGAAAATTTAATTTAAATAACCTGAATGAAAGCGTTTATTGAAATGTCTGGAATGCCACTAAAATAAAGCAGTTAGAGAATATCTTGCTTTGCATGGTTTCTTACTATACCTTAAAGTTTTCCAGGTTAAAAAAAAGCACATTCAAAGGGCCAAATAAAAAAAAAAAGTTAGCTGAATCAACTTAGGCGAGTAATTGTCAGAAAGACGAGATGAGATACGCAGAGACACATCCAGAAAGTCTCTCTCCCCAAAACCTACCCTCTTCATGGAATAAAATGGCTTCTGCAACAAACTGATACTTCACATTTTGGTTTGTTAGAGTGTTCTCTCATGAAACTATCATATGAGAAAAGATAGACAGGAACACTACCAAGGAGAGAAAGAGGCCAAGAAGTATTAAAGCAATAGAAAATAACGAATCAACAAACATAAAGTGAACCCTTTGTAGAAAAACTTCCAGGTTTTGTCTCTCTCAAGCCTTGCAGGAAAGATCCCACTTGAGCTAGTGCCTGCCAAGAGTGGCAGAGCTGCTGTCATTTATGCAAACGACATTCTGCCTACCCACAAACACAACCTGTTCAGGAGCTTTGCTGGAAGCCAGCACTCAGATGCTCCTTCCTGTCACATGTAATTTCCTACGTCCTCCACTTTCGTTTTAAAACCACCATCAAGTTGTTCTAAAAAGAAACAACATGTTAGGCAAAGCCATACCTAGATCTAAGTAAAGCAATGTTAAAATGAGAAAACCAATACTGGAAAGAGTAGGTTTGTTTTACAAATGCTGTTACAAGTTAGACAAACTTCAGCTTGGAAGCAAATGTGATTCATTTACCTTTCTATTTCCACTTGCTGGTTCTTTGAAAGTTCTGCTGTATTACGAATTTCAGGAATGCTTGCTTGCTTTTCTTCATATTCTCTCAGTTTCTCCTTCAACATTAGGATCTAAACCAAAAGAAGCACCCTTTAATTGAAATACGTTTTTTGTTTATTTCCCAAAATTATCATTCTGGGCTGATATTGAACAGCTTTACAAATGGCAGCAGGTGATATTCCTCTCAGAAGAAAAAAAATTTCTTACTCCAAAATACATTAGACCCATATTACCTTACAGATTTAATCCCATTAACTATTTTTTTATATTCAAAGTTAACAGTTATCTGTTGTCAAGAGGTTGAATGGTTTTTTTACATACCTCTTTCTGTTGTTCCTTGCAAATTTCAGCATAGTGGCTTACGTGACTGCTCAAACTAACAACGTTGCTCTTCAACTGTAAAGAAACTAGTTAGAATTTAAAGGCAGCTCCTTCATGTTTTCATGCACAATCAGCACACTGTGTGTATGTACTACACAGTTACACATACACTATACTGTGAGGAAAGACATTAATAAAATTCTGACTTGCACAATGAGAATATGACTGTCAGCTTTTGCTGTCATCTGTTGCACACTCGTGACATTTCCCTCAACAAACCAAGAATAATTACATTTACATATGCAAGCACATTTTGCATTTATTTGGATTAGTTTTACTATTTAAATGTCTGTCGTGTGCATTCTATTATAAAAGCTACCTTTAAGTATACAACAAATGGAAACTACAGTGAACTCTGCAATACATGAAGAGAAATAGGAGCTGCAATAAAAACAGTAATGAAAAACAAAACTAAACAACAGAGAGCAGAAAACGACATTCCAGCTTTTCATTTATCAGGACAATCTCGCTGAGCTTCTTGACTCCAGCTGAATTCTACCTGTACACATCTGGACTGACTCTGGTAGAACTGGTCAGAAATTTCTTTAATATGCTTTACAGTTCTCTGAGAAAGCAATAGCAAAATAGTAAAAAAGGATGTGAATTCTACCAGCTGAGGATTATTTAAATCTCATGCCCACGAAACAAACTGTTTCAAACTGGCAGCATCATCTCATTAACAAAGCTATGCTGCTTTTAGGCCAGATTGGGGATCTACTTAGTATCTACTACACCTATCAGTCACATAAGGAAGAGTTGACAATAAAGAAAGAAGATGTAATGGAACAAATTTTTGAGTCAGAAGTGAAGCAAAACATAATAGCCCAAAATAAGTAATTTTTCTTTTAATACTAGATTATTGTACTTTGACAAGAGATCAGTAAGGGCAATATACTCACAGAAGACTTGATATCCTTTGCTCGGTTTGCATACTTCAGAGTGTTATAGGTATCATCATAGAACATGGAAGATGGGCTAATAGCAGCTATCATTATTGTTCTGCAATTTCCTCCAAGAGAATCCTTCAATAAACGAGTAAGCTTGCTGTTCCGATAAGGAATGTGCACCTTGCTCTAACAAGAGTGATAGACATTTGCATGGTTTAGGTAACTGTACTTTAAACAAAAGTCCGCTTAGAATTTCAACAGTAACAACAAACCATGACAAACAGCCATTAAACTTTTCTTTGACAAAAGTAATTTTTCTTTGAAGTACCTGTACATCTTAAACAGTTTAAGTCTCTTGGAACTGTCCAACACCCTTCCAACACACGTATAACTAAGTTACTTTCTGATGTCTGGATATGTAACTCCTATTTCTGTGATGGGGCAACTAACAGAAAAAGTAAACTACAATAAATTACATTCAGTTTACAAAATCATCCAGATTGGGAAGGACCTCTAAAATCCCTCTAGTTCAATCCCTCTGCTCAAAGCAGGGTCAGCTAGAGTAAGATGGCAACGACTATGCCCAGCAGGGTTTTGATTACCTCCAAGGATGGAGATTTCACACCTTTCCAGGCAACACAAACTCTGTGAAGCTTTGTGAAGCTACAGAATTTTCGTCTCATTATACCAAGTTTGGTATAATGATTGGGTAGGAACCCAATCCCATATCAAGTAAATCAATGTGATTCTTCCATATGTCTGTGGCACAGATGTTAAACTCCACCTTCCTCTCCAACAAGATGGTGATGGGGACATACAACATCAGGAAGGGAAATTAAATCTGATTTTCTCCTGGCATATTTGAAGGAGGAATTAGCTAGTTGAGCAGAAGGACAAAAAGAGTGTTATGGCAGACAATGGACTTCACTTTGATAAAACCTCCTGAACCTCTGCCTTTCTCCTACACAATTGTACCTATTCCTTGCCTGGAGCTGGTGAGCCAGGTCAGGAGACTGACTCACTGCTTTGAGCAGGGATGTGTGTGTGTATGGATGTATGTGAGATCCCAAAAGAACAACTTGGAAGAGATGCTGTTTTATCCTATAAAAGCTGCTCCCCTCTGAGATTAAAGGTTAATTGTAAGGTTATTCATGTACTCGTGCGAGCTTCTCGGTATATGCTTGATTTTGAAGAAGCTAGATAAGAAAAGCAGGCACCATTCATTTTTGACACTATCCTTAGGCAGCTGTACAAGATTTTAGAGCATTTTCCCTCACTGGGACTGTCTTTCAGCTATCACAGATAAGATGGTGGAAACCCTTAAGACAATCTTATATGAGAATGATGATGTGAGTAGCATCAACAATGTAAACCACATTATTCAGTCAGCTGAGCACTTTTTAAAATGTTTTCAGAACACCAGGAGGCAAAGACTGCATGGCAAAGCAGCACATACCTTAGGATCTGCCAGGGCATTAATGACATTTCCAAGAGCAAGCAGGGACCTGTTAATATTTGTTCCTTCCACAAAGCGAGCCCCCCTGGCACTGGTTGCTTTGGCACGTTCAGACCCTGCCAGGTCAATCAGAGACATTTTGGCAATACGAACATTTTGATTAATACTAGCTGTTTTATCTTGCTGCCGTAGGTAAATCTACAATTAAAAAACAAAAAAAAAAGAAAACAATGAAAAAGTAACCACTAACCAATCTAAGCAGTAAATCAATTTCATAGTGTAACAATTGTTTTAAGACATTTGTATTGGTCCTGCCACTTGGCCTTCACTTAAGTGAACCACAAGGTACCTCCTTCTCTTGCTTCTGATTCTCTCTCCTTGCAGAGGATTGAGCAAGCAACTGGCCCAGGCTCACAAAGCAGCAAAGAGAAGTGAGTTTTTTTTTACAGGAGAAATGAATTTCACAGCTCTTGTTTCTTCTGCACCAAAAATGCACATCACACTCCTGAACTTAAAATTGAAAGAAGTGTTCCTTTTTCAAATACATGTTTAGAAGTACACCTTAAAGAGATCTATAGGGATAAACCAGGAAAAGGCTGACCTTTCAGTGATTTAGATTTAATTGTATCTATTAATAGGAAACAATACTCATTTACTGCTGTGAAAATACACTCCAGGATAATTTCAAATGTGATGCCTCCTGAAGCCACTTGTTCCAATTCATCCCATCTTTCCTGAAATTTTCACAATACAAAGATGTACAAAGAACTAAACGCTTCTGCTTCCTTCTGCTGGTGAAAGTATTCTTTCTTCAGGTTTATAAGGAAGCAGGCAAAGCACAAACATACAGTCAGAAAGAAGAAGCAAAGTTATCCTTTGATGGCTTTATACTTATTTTGTGTTGAGTGCCCTGCCATTTGTTAACATGGCTAATGGTTAGTGACATATTCATGAATGCTCTTCTGGATAGTGAATTAGCAAAGGGCTGCCATGAACACAAGGTGACTGACCAGTAAAGACAGTATCTCACTACTTCTGTAGCTTTAAGCTTTGTGCATGAGAAATGAGGTCTTCACCTTGTAACAGAAAACAGATTAACAAGTATTGTGAAAGAATAAAATAAAATTCCTATGACTTGCCACAAAATGTAAATCTATTTCAAACAGATATGTTTCTATCAAACAATACAACTAAGTTCAGTTGTACTGTTTCCAGTATAACAGACAAAAAAAAGAACCTCGGGCTGGGAACATGTTACCAGAACAACACAGTAGCTATCATTAATGAAGGAGGGAAAAGGCAGAGTGACAGCCAAACTGTGTTGTATGACTCAAGCTTTTGTAAAAATTCAAAAGATACAGGAAATGCCCCAAAGCAGAACACTCTCAATAGAACAGTGTAGCAATTCAGATTTTCCTCTCAGATGCAGTAATTGCCTGACCCAGATAGATATTTCAAACATAAGACATGTGGTACAGTAAAGCAAAACTTGCATCTCTAAAATCAGCTCAGAATGTCCTGGGCCAAGGCTTGCCACTTTCTGAGTCAGATTGACACAATATCCTGATCTCATAAAGTTAACAAGAAAAGCCAAAAATAACCTATCTCTACAAAAAAGCAACTCTTAAAATAATAGAAACATTAAAAATAAAGAGCAGTCACAACAGCACCAGGGATTTCTCATCGCTTACATCTCTGGAAACAAAGACACAATTCCGTTATGCAGAATGTCACAGATTTGTGAAAATACTTGAGAAACTCAAGTGTTTTATTTAATTGCCTGCCACTTGTAGAAATGCACTGAGAAAAAACCTTCCAGATAATAAAATGCAGAGGTTTGTCCTAAGAGCAGGTGAGGGAAATAAGAGATGCCAGCAGCAAGTAAACAGAGAGCAGCAGTTCCCTCTGCTCAGTCTGCAGTGCTGTACCTGGAGCCTTTCTGAAGGCAGCACACAGCCATGACAATGCAGCTCTCAACCCAAACCACTTCAAAAGAACTCTTTGTGCAACCCTGTACAATGCACAACAAGGGCAGGCCTCAGGGGAATTCAAAACAGGAAGGGCAATTGCAAACATAAGTTTAAGGTATATAGGAAAACAGAAGCTTTTAGAATGGCAATGGCTTTTGCTCTGTTCCATACTTAGAAGCTGTTTTTTAAACTTTGTTATAGTTATTTAGCATTGTCTAAGTCTGTAGATACTGTTAAAAACTTCCCAACAGTTTAGTGCTCCCATGCAAGGACCAGAATCAAATGTATTGCAATATTTTGGCGTGTGGAACAAATAATCATTCAAGATACTGCTTTGCAGTATGTAACAGCAAACAGAAAAAAAACCAAAAAACCAAAACATTGTTGACAAATATAATTGTTTTTAAATATCACAGGTTGTATTTAAAAAGAAGTCAGAAGAATAAGGCAGTGTAGCCAATGCCAAAAAACTCTGGAGGAGTCTTAAGTTTTAGCATATTTGTACAACTCATTCAAAACTGATTTCTGAAAACTAAGAATCATCATTTCAGTTTTTGAAAACTTGATCCATAGCAGGATATTAGGAAATCACTTTATTGTAAAAATTAACATTAACCAAGAAAGTAAAACAAGAAAGTACTTATTGAGATTCTTAAGTTTACAGTCAGACTTAACTCCATTCTGTAAATGATTTTTCCCAAAGAAATCCTAAACAACATCATGATAGCAGAAAGCATTAAAAAAAACACCAGTAACTTTCAGCTTATAAGATTACAATATGGAAGTCTATTAAAACTTTAAATTACCATTTAACCTAAGTTATTTCTTCAAAGGAATAGAAGTTAAGAAGGTATAAGTACATATTTTATGTATATAAGTTCAAACTGGAATTAGAGATATTTTCACTGAATTCCTTTTTTCCAACATCAACACTAAGAACCATTACATCCTTCCAAGGAATGAGGAGTAACAACAAGAGTAAACTGAAAACCTTCAATCCCCTCTTCCCCAAACTGAGGTTCAACAGAGTTTAAAAGTAAAAGCTTCCACTGTATCCATCTTGAACCAAAAGCTGCAGCTGCCCGTAATGACCACTGTTTATGGGCTCTATCACCTTACCTGAAAGACAGCATGGGACCGGGAAGAGGAGGCGTTCAGATCTGTGGGATGCTGGGTCCTATTTCTGTTTCCATGATCCAACATCTGAAGGATTTCCTCTGCTGATTTAGGCTTTAAGAGTAGAGCACATGACAAACACAGGTTTCCTTTCTTTGCCATCAACTATATGAATACACTGATTCTAAAATACATTTACTTTAACATTAACTTTCAAAAAAAAAAAAAAAAAGCTTAAAATTTTACCTAGCTAGAAGTAAGAGAAATTTCCTGTTTTGGAACTAAGGCACATCAAACAAATATTCTCAGCTAAAAAGCAGTAAGGTATGTGGAGCAAGCACTTAAGTGCAGCATCTTAAATCAGAAAATATTTTTAGTTTAAAATTCAAACAAATCTAAAAGATTGCCCATAGTTAGAATCAGCCTCTTTTAAGAATGTCTGGACTTAAATTAGTATATCACTATTCAATGCATAAGTACAAGATAAGTTTTTTCCTCACAGGACTCAAGGTTTGGGAAGAAGGATGTTCACAGAGCTAGCTAAACTTAGAATATTGTTTCCTGTCACAGCATGTAACATATACAAGAAAGCTGCAAGAACATAGGTCCACAGGAATTGATATTCACATTGGAAAACTAAGTTCTATCACTGACCTTACAACAAATTGCTGTGCTGCAAAAGTAATTTACCATGGAAATCTTCAAACATGGTTATTTACAAACAAAAACAACCTTAAGATTTCACAGCTGTGTAGAGCTGGTAATGAAGGCAATGCCAAGATATTTTAGCCCAAAAAGAAATCTTCCAAAATTTGCTGGATAAGCAGCAAGCCAATTGCACCCTTTTCATAACAAGGACTGAATGCTTCTACATTTGCATTCAATGAGACTAGCAGATTTTTCCACAACGTGCTTTTAACTAATTAATTAGATTTTCAAGTTACTTGTGCTTATGGCCAGGAAAAAACCCACTAGGAAATTACCAAATTCAATACAACTCTCCCACAGAACAATGGGAATGTTTCTCAAATATCTCAAGCTCATTTTAAGTTTCTAGAGCTATTTACATACCTGATGCAATGTCAGACCTTGAACTACCACCCCTTGCTGGCCATCCTCACGAACAGCCAGAGGTCCAGAGTTGACCAGCAGATCACGAATCTGTTCATTGTAAACCTTTGAAAGGGAATTGACACGATTTTGTTAAAACATCCTCCCACAGCTGACAGAATTAAACCAGCAGAAATCAGTAGTCTTTTTTCATACTCCTTTAAGACAAAGTAGGAAATTAATGCTATAATTTTTTAAACACTTTTCCTATACCAAGCTTAAAATATTCAATTCAGATGATTTCTTTTTAGAATTTAGAAGAAATTCTTTTTAGTAAATAATCTTCAATCTTTACTGAAAAAAAACCTATTGTTTTTACAAAAACCAGTTTTGCAACAAACATGAATGCAAAGCAGTTATTTCTCTCCATTGTACATCACAATCCATACCTCAGCAACATTTCTTAGTTCACTACTTCTGTTAGAAGTTTTAAATCTCTTATTTCTTAGTCTGTGAAAGCATATGGCAAGGCAAATTTTCTCATCTCCTTCTACCCTTCCCAAATACCAACTAGAGTCCATGAAGACTTTTAGGGAGCTAAAAAGATAACCATTTTACTAGTACCATACAGCAGAGGTGCCAAAACATTCACTTGTAAAAAACAGAACATCATTTCGTTGTGCTTTTTCACAGCATTGCGGGATGTTACTGTGAAGTCCCAAAATACTACCCTGAAATGACATTTTCTTGTACACATCAACAGGTGCTCAGAGGCACGTAGTTGATCAGCAAGACACAAATCATGAACAATCAGTAACTATATTAGAAGTGGTGTGTTGTGATTGATGCCCCATGTGTGGAGACACAAGCCTAGACTCTATGTTTTCAGAAGACTGGTTTATTATCTTATGATATACATTATATTAAAATACTACATTAAAAACTGTACTAAAAGAACAGAGAGAAAAGATTTATCAGAAGGCTTGAAAGAACAGGAATAGAATGCATAACAAAATCCTGTGACTGCTCACGGCCTCGGCACAGCTAGCTGTGATTGGTCATCAATTGAAAACAATCCACAGGGACCAATGGAAGATGAACCTGTTGCATTCCACAGCAGCACAGAGTTATGGTTTACATTTCTCTCCTGAGGCTCTTTAACTTCCCAGGAGGGAAAAATCCTAGCAAAGGATTTTTCCTAAAACATCATTACTACAGTGGTGGTTGTTTTTGGGCAGCCTTCTGGAAATCAGTGACAGATGCCCAGGAACACCAAGTCTGCAGAGCAGAACACAGTTCCACTCCTGTAAGGACACATTCTATCAAGCCCCAGAAGGGACTAGAGGAAAGCAAAACCAGCTTGCTTCTATTTATAAAATAGGACTTATTAAAAGCAACATACCAAATGCAGGAACTCACCTCTAAATAAGAGACAGCGACGTCACATATTTTATCATCTTTGATTTGATCCATGCGTTTATAAAGTGTCACCATAGTTAAATACATGACTCCAGGGTCTTCAGGAGAACCTAACATTGTATGAGTCTTTCCAGCTCCTGTTGCACCATATGCAAGCACTGAATTTTTCCCAAAAAACAACAAAGCAAAAACATGTAGTTTATTTGTAAGCCAATCCAGAACACCAAAGGCAAATGAACATTCACAGACCTCTGTCATGCTGCACAACTGTTTCATAAATGGATAAAGATTCTTAGGCTTTATCTTTCAGATGTATAATTAGAGAGAGATGTTTCTAAATAACATTTTTGAATTTTCAGTTCAAAATTTGTTCACTGATACATCTCACGAAAATATTATTTACTTACTCTCATAACCTTAAGCCAACAACTTACTGCTGATAGGCATTTTATTTCCTCACCACATTCCAGCAGCCAATTAAGAAACCTCAAGGTCTTAAAGAGTTCATAAAGCAGTCACACACTCAGTGACACAATGCTTCTGCTTGAATAACTCTGGAGGATTATCATTAGCACATATATATCAGATAAAATTCCCTAGTCTGTGGATGGGTGGAATGTGGGAAAATGGAGATAGTGAAGAAGGTAATCCCAGCCCTAAAGGGTTACAGCTGTGCTAATTATCAAAGCCTGCCCTTAATAGGCCACAGCTAGATCCAGTTAGGGTGGGTATTGAAAAAGAGTAGGTTGGCTAACCAAGAAGTTAGATGGAGTTTGTTGGTTGTGCTGAGAAGAAGGAGTCAGTGCTGTGAGCAGCTGCCCATGAGAAATCACCGGGAAGGTATGAAACCTTTGCAATAAGATGGGAAGACAAGTCTATTATAACCTTAACACAAACTTATTTTTAAAACAGAGTAGGGATATCCTAACTTCCACATGCTAAAAAGTCAGCCTTTCATATCCATGAATTAAACCACAATGCTTTATTTCTATCTCAGGCTTTTTTAATGCCTCTACAGCTGCTGAACAGAACAGTAGAAACTGAGAGAAGTTCCCTAAAGTTTTTTAATTAAAAAAGATAAATAACAAAGTTACCTGTACAGTTATACCCATTTAAGAAGCCTTCAATGACATTTTTAGTAGTGTGCTCAAAAACTTCCAGCTGGGATGAGCTGCCATCAAAAACAGTATCAAACATGAACTTCAGATCTTTCCTTTGCCTTCTGTTAACATCCCTCTGGGTCACTCTCCTTCTGCTGAAGAAGCCGACTTCCTCCTCCTCTGGGTCAAAGACCAGCATGTGCTGGTCGATGACACGAACCACTCTCCTGAAGTTGCCCTGCCTTTCTTTGTCGTTCTCAGGGCGCACACGGACCACCACTTTGACATGGCTGCAAACATTTTCCTGGGCAGGAGTCATCCCTCCTGCTTCCAGGTCTTTTCAATGCGGGGGCTGAATCCTTTCTGCAGTTGACAGGAGAGGTTTTATTTGCAATGAGCCTTTCACCCTTCCAAGCAGTCACAGCTTGCTCAGGCCCCTGTGCTGGGCCCACCCATGGCGTGTCAAGGGCTGCCCAAGGAGACTTGGGCAAACTCCGAGATGGCCTCAAAAGGCGACTGAGCCCAGCTTCCAGAGAGCCAGCCAGCACTGCCCCGGGGAATTCCCGAGTTTATTTCACTGTTTAAACTGCTAACTGGCCTCTACAGCCTTTCCTCCACACCAGACCGAGCTTTCAGGCGGCACACCGCATTGCTGCGCACCAGAGCAAGCGGGTTTTGCTCTTCAGCACCAAGAGGCGCTGCCCGTGCTGCCCTCCCCGGATTGAGAGAGTCGGAGCGGGATTGGCGTTAAGGGGCCTGGCCGGGGCTGCAGCAAGCGGCACCCAGCGCCATTCCCTTGGAACAGCCCGTTTCTGCCGCGAGCAGCGCCGCCGGGCTCGCCCCAGCAGCGGACACGGCCGAGGCTCGCAGCGCCGCCGCCGCCGCTCCGGGGCCAGCTCGCCTCGCCCAGCCCAGCCCGGCGTTCCCGGCCGCTCCTCACCCAGCGCGGCCGGCTCTTGCTCGGGGCACGCCGCCAGCCTCGGCCCTGCGGCCGCAGAATCGCCCCGTGCCGGCCGCAGAGACGCCTGCCCGCCGACCCTGCGGGCCGGGCCCGTTCCCGGTGTCACCCCCGGCCGTGCCCTCAGTGTTCCGCTGTTTCTCTTACCCCGGCCGTGCCCTCAGTGTTCCGCTGTTTCTCTTACCCCGGCCGTGCCCTCACCGCTCCCGGTCTCCGCCGCACCCACTGCCAGCCACCGGCCGCGGAATTCAAACAGCGGGCCGGCCGCGCTCCTCGCCTCCTCATTGGCTGAGCGCCGTGGCGTCAGCAGAGCGGGGCCGCGGGGAGGGGCCAGGAAGGGAAGGTGGAGGCGGCGGCCTGCAGCCGTGCCCGCTGCCCCTCCGGGCGAGCGCGGTGTAAAACGGAATAAAACACAACCCGCGCGCCCTGGTGAGGAGGAATCTCCGGGCGTGCGGAGCAGGGGCCGGAGCAGAGCCCCTGGCGTTCCCCGGGGCACGGCCGGGCTCGGCCGCTGCTCGCCCTCAGCAGCGGGGCCGGCACAGGAGGGGAAGGGAGAAAGGCACAGACCCGGCTGGAGGGAGAGAGCTCGGCAGCCGAGGCGGGAGCTGGGCACGGCAGCCGGGCACGGGGAATGCCTTCCCGTGGGGCAGCCGGCCCCGGGAGAGCAGGGCCCGGCCCGGGGCCAGTCCATGTCCCTGGAACGCGGTGCCGCCAGCCCATCCTGCTCTGCCCCCTTCCCTCTGCAGCCCTCGGGGCACCCGGCCCGGCCGTGTCTGCGCCCTGCCGTGCTCAGCAGGAGCCCAGAGCAGCCCCTGGGGAGGAAAGGAGCCCCACTGCAGAGCACACCGTGCGGATACACGGCTTTCTGCAGGCGCGCCTGGTGTGCTGCAGAACGCACCTCTCAAAGTCACAGGGATGTGCACTTGCAGATTTAAAGTGGGGGAATTACAGCCAAGTCCCTGTAGTCGTCCTGTCTTTGAAGCAAAGACTACAAATTAGATTTTGCCAACCTACCTCACTGCTCAATGAAAAGTCTGTTGCACTAAGTCCGCACATAAAGAAAATACCTGGAATGCATAATTACTCAAAATACAATATAGAAGGAAAAAAGGGGATATTTTTCTTTCCGAGTCTCAGAAAAAACACTAGATGAGATATTCCTAGTTGTGTAAAAAGGTTTGGAGAAATTTCTCCTTAACCCACACCACTGAATCACCCTTGTCAGGCTCCATCTGTAGAATTCTTACTCATGAAAATAATATAGGCCTCATGTTTTCTCCAGTGAGTTTTCAACCTTTGCATTTCACTTGAAAAATAAGAGAAAAAGCGAATCTCAGAAGCCTGATTTGGTCATTTCTAGCAGTGTGGAAAGGGGCAGACATAGAAGGAGAATATTTTTTAATTGGAAGAAGATGAAAGGTTGTGAGATGACATGAATGTCAGACTTTATCAGTAAAATTAAATGTGTAGTATTTAACATGTGTGAAGTCATGCTTCCAATAAGAATATTTGATATCCAAGAGATTTGTCCATTTTACAATAATAGAACTGCAACAAATGAGACCAGAATTAAAACCTTATATTGAAAATTATCTGTTTCTAAACTAATAAGTGCTGGAATAAAGCATCAGTTTCTCAAGAACGTTCTCATATCTGAAGCAGAACATCATGCCTGCTGATTTGTGCAGACAGATACAAGCTGGAGAAGGTAGTAACCATGCCATATAACCAAGCAGGGAAGAAACAGTTACATGTACTGTAAGCAGGAAGAGACAGTTATATATAATTATAGCTTTATAATATATTATATAATATATATAATATAAGCATATATAATATGAGATTATATGTAGTAATAATATTTTATAAAAAATCGTTTGCTAGGATTTCTCCCTCCTGGGAATCTGAGAAGCCCCAGGAAAGGAATGTAAACAATAACTCTGTGCTGCTGTGGAATGCCACAGGTGCATCTTCCATTGGTCCCTGTGGATTGTTTTCAATTGATGACCAATCACAGCCACTGTGCCGAGGCTGTGAGCAGTCACAGGATTTTGTTATGCATTCTATTCCTGTTCTTTCAAGCCTTCTGATAAATCTTTTCTCTCTGTTCTTTTAGTACAGTTTTAATGTAGTATTTTAATATAATGTATATCATAAGATAATAAACCAGTCTTCTGAAACATGGAGTCAGAACTCATGTCCCCACACATGGGGCACCAAACACAACAATTATATACATATAATACTAGTGTATATGCAATACCATATGTAGTATTATATGCTATATAATATACTACATATATATATAGTACTATATATATATATATATATATATATAAAAATACTAGTTCTATATAATATTGGCTTTAAGTATGTATGGTCACACACCATGGAGTGTGAGACATTTCTCCACATCCTCTGATAGAACTAAGGGTAAGAGGTCAGCATATCTATTTTTCTTGGTGAAGGGCTGTTTAAAGAAAAACCTGTGTTGTGTATGGCAAAACGAATGAGGGTCTTTGCCTAGCATATGCATTTAGGTTTCCACTTCATTTAATTCTGATGTGTTTTTAAATTCCTGTCTATTTTCACAACCAAAGACCTGATTCTATATTACATACCTCATAAAACCTGTCCATAGTCTTTACAGTTCATAGTTGAAAAATGAACAGATAAACCATAAAATTAGTTGAATTTCATTATGTAGGAAAAGTTGAAAAATAGCAAAATAGGTTACTGGAAAACTGATTACTATTTTTTAAAATTAGTTTATGCTAAATTAAAAATAAGAGACATTAAAGAGAAAATGTCAAACTCTGAAATAAAAATGGTCAGTGATGACTAGGAAAGCTATCACATGAGCATATTAATAAGACATGTAACTGAAAATAAAAGTGGCTCAGATTAAATAATGGAAGGTAAATTAATGACAGGAAAATCTGCTACTTTTCCCAAAAGTAGAGCTGGAAGCTAAAGAAATAACTATTTATTTTAAGTATTGGAGAATAGGCAGTGGAATTATTGAGGGTGTGAAGAGAGTGTACTGGCGTGAAAATAAATTTTGGGAAAACACCACTAGAAATATTAAAGCAAGCTCTTTTGTGGCTTCAGCAATAAAGATTAAAACCAGCTTGTCCTGGTTTCAAAGTGTAAAGAGCTGTTGCCTTCAAGGTTGTACAAGTAGCAATCTCATAGAAAGCCAAAGGAATCAGAAAAAATGTAGTGCCTTTCTGGAGAGGAGGAGGGATTGGTGGAGATGAAGTGACTGCCCCTAGAAGGTCCATCCCCCTCCCTCCCCTGAGCAGCAGAGAGGGGAGTGGAAAATGCAGTTATCTGACAGCTCAAGCTGTGCAGCTCTACTGCCCAGACAATTCAACAAGGAGCAGATCCACAAGAAGAAAAAAAAAGGTGTCTCATAACGGCCCAGCCCCAAACTGAGCAAGAGCAAAGGACCAAATCCAAATTCCACAAGTATGGAAGACTTGGAGGATTTGAATATTGGTTAATTTAATTTCATTTAAGGGAGCTGTTTCAGGCACATGTTATTCATATGAAAAAAGTGTTTTGGTGATGGGACTATTAAATCCTCAGTTTTATATTTCTTATCTGCTGGGGGTTTGTTATTTCTAGTATCACTGCTACCAAATTCACACTCTGTACAAGCATCAAACAGTGCAATAGAAATTATGACCCAGGCCATTAAGAGCAGAAAAACAAACTTTCCCAGATAACAAACACTATTAAAAGATTTTTTAAAATGGATAGAGGGAAGAAGTGAACCTGGACAGGTGTTCCACTTCTGCACATGACAGAAATAGCGGGAATAAAATTACTAAGAATATGTCCTAAAGGTTTGGTGCTGAAAAAGAGGAGCCATAACTAAAAAATTTTTTCCTGACTTTTGTAACATGGTTCTAAATTTTCATAACTTCAAAAATGCCTTAACTTTATTAGAAATATCCTCTTCAATCACAAACTATCTCACAAGATACTCTCCTGCTTTTCATACATCACTCTTCCCCCTTACCAACTTTCCTGCCCTTCTGATAAAGTTTATTGTCACCTGAGTTGTGGCAATTCAAAGCATTTATGGAAATATGCTGTAGTGCACTCAGTTAAACTTTTCAGTTTAAATAACAAACTGGAAAAGCCTGAAGCTTTTTTCCTAACCCAGGCAACTCCATATGCAGGAGTTGGCACAACCAAAACTGTGGCATGGGGTCAGGAACAACTGCCTAGAAACAAAAGCCTCTAAAATTGGGTTTCTGGCTTAAAAGAAGAAAGAATCCTACCAGAGCTTGCAGGTAGGAAGGATGAATTAAACAGAGATGTTGAAAAAGCACCATGATACTCATACTCTAATACAATCTGTAAGTGGGCCAGCATAACTCACTCAACTGATATAAAAAAAGAATCTCTGGCATGTTACAGAAATACTCATGAATAAAAGAAAAAAAAAGCTTCCTTTATAATGTTAGCAGTGAATATCTAGTGTGGCTCTTAAAATCCCATTCTTATGCACAGAACTGGATAAACAAGAGAAAGAATGGCCTTGGATCCTTACCCTTTATTTGCCTTGAATGTCACTCGGAGAACAAAGATACTAGACTTCTTCACCTTGTCCCCTTCTTTTGTGAGAAAGGACATCTGCAACATATTTATGGAAAAAATGATGCACTATGTAATGAAAAAACCTCTCGATGTATGTGCATGGTAGGTAAAAGAATTTGTGGGCTGAATTTACACTGACAAAGTTAAGTCAGCTCTTCAGAAAGGATGATTTGTTGTTTGCTATGCCTGTGTCTGCTATGCCTCATTCTGGCCAGGAGAGGGTTAATTTTTGCAGTGGCCAGGAGGGGCCATGGCCAGAACCCAGAGGGTATTTTACACCACCTCATGTCATTTTCTGGGCATGGGGAGAGGGTCCTTTCCAGGGCAGGGCAGTGTGGGGGCAGTCAGGTATTGTCCCTTATCCTGCAGTACCATGGTGAGAATTCCCGTGGGAATCCCTTGCCTCCCTTGTGCACTTTGGCTGTTAATTTGTTGGTTACTTTTTATTTTCCTATCCCATTGCCATTTCCTGTAAATTGTTCTTACCTCAACCCATGGTCTTTGCCTTCTGTGCTTCCTACACAGTGCCCCGCAAGGAGTGGAGCGAGGCAGGGAGTGGAACAAGCATCGCGTGTTTTGGGGTGGTTC